AAAAAGTCGCTCAAGCGTACTATAAGTTTTGCACTCGCAAAATAAAGTTATCCAGCTTTTGGCTTACCTTGCAGGCCGGTAAATTATAGCTACAGGGTTCTGTGTCCGGTGGCTTTAGTGTTTCATTGCAACGATTATCTGCGACCACAACCTCATTTTGGTCCAGGCACATAACCGAGCGTCGTCTCACAGGCAACACACCCTCGGACCATTTGCAGGTAACTGGGCAGTATTGCCACGGCCCCGCCCACCAGTGGGCAGGACATGAGATTTTGTTGCAGACTCGTACACGGCGCGGTGGTCGTTTGTTTTGTGCAAAAGTCCAGCACAGCTCGTTGGCGGGTGTTACTTTACGGGGCGACAAAAATTATAACAACAAAAACAAAACAAAACAAAACACACAGTGTGGCAATTCACTTACATTCATCCTCCTCAAAACAGTGGGTCTCACGATATTGAACACCGCCGCCACAGCTGCTGGTACATTGCGTCCAATCACCCAACTTCCATGAATACCTCTTCCCTCTGGTGTTGTTAACCGCAGGCAAAGTGAATTCGTAGTAAATACTTGCATTCAGTACCTCACCGCGAACAATTACCTTATTATTAATGCATTGTAATAACAATATACATATATATTAATGATAATATGTAAGTAAATTGGGGCATAAGAACATAAATTAAAATTGCATAGAATAAAATAAAATAAGTAAAAAAGTCTGATTACACTGTGCGACGAAATCCAAAAAAAAATTCAAAACGCCCAAAAATAAGCACTATATTCACGAAACTATGCGCCAGATATAGTGAAACTGCTTATTTAGTTTTTCTCTATAAAGTCAGCATTTTTTAGAATAATAAAATTGGTACCAAATGAAGTAAAAAATTCTGTAGACTTGAAAAAATTTAAGTCTTTTCGTCCACAAGGATGAATAGGTATTGAAAATACTTTTTTAGTTAATTATATTTTTGTAGGCAAAGATGTGGTCATGTATATATTAGTCCTTAACATTACTTTTTTTTCAAAAATACATACTGCAAATTTTCAAGGATATTTAAGGATAGCACCAAAAAATTGATTAATTCCACAGAATTTTCTCTATTATATGGTACTCATACTTTTATTCTAGATTGCACTGACTTTTTTTAAATAATTTTTTAAATAAATGATACCTTTAAAATTCTAAATCCTTTTAGCGGAAGTCCTGGCGTCATAAAAAAAAATTAAAAACGTAGTTTTACTTTTTGGCCCCTAGTTTCGCAAATATATATGACTTTTTTGTGTGTGTAAAATTGAATGTCGCACGGTGTTATAATGCAACGGCTACGCTTGCTTGTCAATGTTGAACGAATTGACAGAAATGCTCCAGCTCTGAAAGTATTCAACGCGGTTCGCGATGCTGGTAGCCGGGGAACAGGAAGGCACCCTCTGCTTGTCAAAGATAAAGTGGAGAAGGGCTTGGTTTCACTTGGCATTTCCAATTGGCGGCAGTTGGCACAGAAGAAACCACTGGCGTGCGTTTTTGGGCTTGGCCAGAACAGCCTAGGCGTTTACACCGCCAGTCAAGAAGTCTAAACAGCGATTTAAGTGATTTTGCTATACATAACGCAAACGGTTTTGTTAAATTTCAACATGGCGGCCAGAAAATCAATTTTGATTTCTGTTTAAATTTCCCTCGAGCGGTTTGTGAAACCTTCAAGCGTAGCACACCCGTACACAACACAAATGGCGTGGATTTTGATCGATTGCTTAATAAGACAGGAAACGATAATTTTACCGTGTTTAATAGATTTTGAGTGAGTTGTTTTAGGTAGGTGTGGCTGCCACGCTACGGATGGCCACGAATTGAAGGCCCGTAGTGATACCACAACTAAGAGTTTTAACTTCCCTTGCTGAACCATTTTGAATACTTGACGAAACTCGAATGGCACTTAGGATTTAAATCTCCCAATTTGTCAAGGTCACTAAAGAAATGAGGCCCAGAAAGCACTATCTGCCCCTCGACAATACCGGACAGTAACAGAGAATGTGGAGAACTAGCTCTCCCCTTGCTTAAAGACTATGGCAAATTCTAGCTTTTAGCGAGTGGGCTTCTGTAGGCATTGAAATCTCGTAGTTTTTGCATTTTTTTTCCAAAATACCACTATGTATAGGAGGAGGGCGGGGATAGTATTCGATTTTGCCCATTTTAATTACCAGGCAGCCTAAGGCAAAGGGACAATTTTTGTTTGAGATATCTCAAATTAGACTTCAAAAATAAAGCGTTCTTTTTTAAATCAGATAAATATGTATATATGTACTCACATGCACTGTTATTGGATTTTCAATTGGCTGAGGAATTTTTATGCTCTCTTGTTCGTCTGCCCGATCATATAAGCTTTCTGTGCCTGCGACATTAAATTCTCCTGGCATCGATATAAGACTATCGCCATTTAAATAGAAATAACTACTGTTTGCCTTTGAAATGCCGAGAAAATGTTGCGAGTTGGTTAGCTCCTTTATGATGATGTGGCGCGCCTTAGCAGGAATAGTGACAACTTCTACATAGCCATCGGTTATGTTAAAACTTTCCTCAAATCGTTCCTGAAACATCAATCGCAATATACCAACTTCATCGACTTTTTCTTGCTTTACTCACCTTTATAAACTTACATTGATCGTTATTGCCACCACACACCCCGCACTGATCTTCTTCCATATCGGAGTCCACAATCCAATCACATCCAACTTTCTAAAACGCAGTTCAGTTAACTGATTACACTGCTCAATCGCCATTTTAGGGACTCGACGAAATATTGTTCACACATTAGTATTTATAAGTGGTAGTCTAATTTCAAAAGGACTTTGCTCCACAGTCTCACTTTGGCCACAATTTTATATATACAAAGAGCGTATGTGAATCGGTAACAAAGTTCGCGGCGAGTAAATTTTTGACAACTATGAGGTGAACAAATTTTCAGTAGCTCATGAGGCTAGTCAAATTTTTGACAAAAGCATAGAAAATTTTGACAATCGCAAAGATTGTTGCGGTGTGTAATTTTTCGTTAAATAAAAGCTAAATTGATGAATTGCAATCAACGATGGTAGATGTTTTCTTAAAATATTAATTTCACTTCAATTTTTTTTTACTGCTGTTAAAAAAGATTTCAATTCGCACAGCAGATTGGCAAAACTGTCTCATCATAGTAAAAATATTATTCAACAACTTTGTTACCGATTCACACACGTCTTAAGAAATTGTCTTCTTGAAGAAACCCAATAGATATCTTATGAGTTTTGTTCTAACTACCTCTCAGGGATACTAACGATTGGACATTATTTCGTCGATGCCATTAAAACAATCCAAAAATTGATGTAATGTGGAACGATTTTCCGTCATCCCTTGTCAAATATGGTTTGGCGTCAAACCGGTTTCGGCGTTGTGCCATCTTCAGTGTCATTTTTCGAAAAAAAAAAACAAATTTGACAAGGGATGACGGAAAACACCAACAACGAAAATGTGAATCCCAAAATTGTTTCGCGGTGTTACCAAATTAATTTCACCTCACCTTGCAAATTCCATCGATGCACATATTATTGGTGCCAACGCGACAAGGAGTCCCATCAGCCACCATTTCACCCCAGTTTGCTATAATCGTATCGTCGACATCAGTACACTGCAACTTGCACGGGTTCTCTGCAAATTTCAAATCGTGCTTTCAATTATACCTAGGCAAGATTTAGAGATAATTTTTTTTTTTATTACAATTAATTACTTTTATCGAAAAATGGTTGCCATTTATAAGTTCCACCCTGATAGCACACATTGTCATACTTTGAACATTGCTTTGCTCGAAAACTGACCTCCCCCGCCGGGCATGGTTGATAATTGCATATTTTATATCTAAAGCCATTGTATGTGTGGGTGTGGGTAAAAGTTGTAATGAATTTATGTGCATCTGTCTGTATATATGTATGTAGGTGGATTCGAACCTTTTTCTCTCACCAATGCAAAAGAGACCTCCATTCGCCGGAACCGGATTGTTGCATTCCCGTTTTTGCGTAGACACGCCTCCACCGCAAGTTCTCGAGCATTCACTCCACTGAGACCAATTGCCCCAATTGCCGTTAATGGGCAGAGCTTGCTCAATAGGCACACACTTGCCATTCTGGCACCACTAAAATATGCAAAAATGTCGAATAAATCTTTACTATCGCAATATATGGCTTCCTTTGTATTACAGAATTATATAGAAACTAACCTTTCCATCACCACAACTGGTTCCCGGTGCCGTCGGCCGCATATTCGTTACGCATTCGCCATTCACTCTGCACCACAAAGCCGAACAGATTTCATTCATGGACGTACATGATGACGCATCGAGGTCGGAGTCCGTAAGATTGAACTGCAACCGGCATTGCCGCTCGGCGTCGAAAAGTACTCCAGGAGGCAGAGCAGGGTAAACGTATTTTTTTACCGCAGTTGGAGTATTATCTAAACAATTGCCTAGACCCTGGCTGTGCGACAACAAAATTTTAATGAATGTACAAATGTCAATATTGGTTCGTTAAGAATCTTCCAACTGGGAACATACTCGAGAAATTGTGTAATATATTTCCGACTGCAATTCGACCAGCTAACTTGCAAGGTATCCGCCCCAAAAGTCGGAGTCATTATGTGAACAATTGAGCCGATTCGAGGATGGCATCCGATTTTTGCGGTATCGTGGAACATGCCGAAACTACGGTAGAAATAAATGTTATTTTTTTCGGTACACATTTAGGGGTTTCACAAAATGTTAAGATCGTAAAATTGTTTTTTTCTTGCATAAAAAAAAAAATTAATTAAAATATACAACTATGAGTTCTGTGTTTTCGGTGCGTATTAACGGCATAACATATCGATGACTGAGTGGAAGATCGACCTATCTCGGCACCCATTTCGAAAACGCCCTATCTCAGAAAACTTTTCAAGAAAGCCCTACATCAGAATTTGATTGAAAAACGCCCTATTTCAGAATTTGATTGAAAAACACCCTACCTCAAACGAAAATATGTACATTGAAAATAAGCTAAAATAGGGTATTTTTGAATCGGCAGCTGAGATAGGGCATTTTTTAATCAAATTCTGAAGAAGGGTGTTGTTGAAAAATTTTCTGGGACAGGGCGTATTCGAACTGGCTGCCGAGATATGATGTCGATCTTCCATTCAGCCATCGATATGTAGTTTTAAAGGGTTGCTCACAACTTGTGTAATTTTTTAAGATTTTTCCTTCGGACTTCTAATTTTATGAGACTTTGTGTATCCCCCAATTGTATTCAAATATGTAAGCTTTGTATGTATGACTAATTGTACAGTTTGGATGTTTTCATAAATTCTAAAAAAAACTTTAAGCCCTTGTGATAAATGCAATCATGCTAGGCATTCAATAAATAATCAGATAATCTAACGGTAAATAGGAGATTGCTGAATTTTCGCACCTTTTCTAACGTATGAATGATTTTATGAACAACTTAAAAAAGTAGCGATTCCCAGCAGCGGAAATCTTTGTAATGCACGAATGGAAACTGTCAAGTCTTAATTTGCTATTAAAATGTCGTAGCTCGCCATACCTCTCAGCTTGTTAAACCATTTATGAATACAATTTCTATGACGTAAATAGCGTTTAATAGATAGTCGTCCAATAGCTACTGAATAACGCAACACACTCCGATGATTAAGTCATTCAATGCTGAGTCATTCAAAACTTGGTAGACTGTGTGGCTCTTGGTAGCGCTCATTTATTACAAACTCAAACACCACAGATTAAGGCGAAAAACAAAGCGTCGGAAGCCCCCTGTAGGAAAATTGACTGATCTACTGATTCGATACTAGTGCAATTAGACACTTAAAAATATTAACTATGTAGTAGTAAATTGTCTCTCAACTGGGGAGCTTTTCCATTCACTTTACATTTAGATCCCATTAGGGCCCGACCTTCACCCAAGTGTATATTCTCTTGAAAATTTTCACCGGCGAAAAATTTCGTTCACCGAAATGGCTCACCTTACAATGAATGTGCAACGATTTCGGGCGAACGACATTTTACACAGAAATTTCGAATTTGGAATAACGTTAAAGCCATTAAATAAAATTTCAGTAAACAACCAGTTTTGAACGTACATACGAGTGTTTCCTATATTTGTGAATTGTTTTGCGGTTTTATCGGTGCGAGTGAAAGTTATATCACCGGTGAATAGGGTATACGATAGGGTGGTGCAATTGATTTGAAGTGAACTACTTTGCTTGGTGAACATACAGTAGGTGAATGAGTCAACACGGAATGAAAATTCATGATAAGGCTCAAAGTTTCTGCGAAAAACCCGGCATAAATTCCGGTTGCCGAACTTTTAAATCAGAATACATTGTAAGAAAATCACAAGTTTTGAAATGTAACAAAAAACGCCGAGACACGTAAATCATCAAATTGTACCAAGAAAAATTTGTTTTAATATGTTGCTTTGCAAGAAAGCAGGACAGGAAATAATGTTACTCATACGCCGTATCGTAAATGGCCGTACTTGTAATACTCGTACATGACAAATGAGTAACATTTTCTATGTTAAAGTTTGATGTCTTTCATTCGTACGCAAACTTAAAATAAAAGAATATCGTGGAGAAAATGTCGTGATCTAGAAAAATTTTGCACAGATCCGCAATCTACGACCCAAAATTAAGTTTACGTGTCTCGGCTTTTTTTGTCATTTCAAAACTTGAGATTTTCTTACAGTGTATTTTGATTTAAAAGGTTGCCAACCGGAATTTAGGCCTTATATCCTCGGGCTCGCAATAAAATTTTCTTTATCTTGATACCGAATTTATTTATTAACCAGGTGAGTGAAAATTACCAGTATTACTTACCTGTTCTTACCAGCCTGCCCGATAGGTAAAAAGTGAGTGGAAAATTTAAAAAAAATTAATAATTTTTGATTATTTAATTTAAAATATCTTGGCCAGGATTTTTTCAGTCAACCCGCCCTTGAAATATTTACAAACACGTTAAATTTCATATAAAATAGATTCCATCCATTAAACAGATGGGTGAAGGTAGCGCCCTAATTGGATATCCTACTATCCAGTCGAAAAGCCACATTCTGTTGGTGCCACATTTTCATTTTTCTGACAATGACGAAAATTGTACTTTCACTCTCTGAACAAGAAATTTGTTTCATTTTTTCCCTGCAGGGCTATGTGCATACTTATGTACTTGTATATAATAATTATTGAGTGCTAATAGGTATGTATGTGTATGTGCGCACATACTATTAATTTCATAGTTATGCAGATATTACAATAAAAAATAAAAGCAATAATACAAGATAGCCAGTGTAGGAATGTAAACAAGTTGAAACTACTAGAAAATATTTGTGTACAATTAGTCGTACTTATGTACATGCATTTATGTACATATTATTCAGAAGTCTGCATAGATCTATTCTAACGGAAAATTTAATTATATCGTGCATATACATATATACCCCAGTGAAATAATTAAATGCGCCGCACTTCAACCAGTTAAATGAAAAAGCTATAGTAGATCTTTGATGTTTTTCCCTATAATTATATTCATTAACTCTATCAAGAGAAAATAAAAAAATGTATAAATATACATTAGTTTATAACAAAATAATTTAATTGTACCATTACACTATGGCTGAAAAAAGCACTTGCTGCGGCCAAAAGTTCAATTTTCAGTTTTTGCTTTCAAAATTTTTAACAGCCGGAATTTATTCACATTGTGACTTTTTCTGTCCGATATGATATATATGTTACCAAACCCGATCTCAGGACAAACTAGTTTTGCCTAGGCTAAGTTAGATCAGGGGCCACAGTATTTTTGCGCAGAACACCTTTCCGCGTTCAAAAAATTAACCCTCATCAGTTCATCTCCAGGTACGCAGTCCACAATATTGTTGCGTCCAACTTATTTCCGCAATGGACAGATATATTGGATCTAGGCAGAACTAGTTTAGCCTGAGAAAAAATATTTGGTCCTAAGATCGGGTTTGGCCGGTAACATCATATCTGATAAAAGGGCATTACATCTACTTTCATTTGATATATCAAGATTGTCTGCTGCATCTTGCTGCTCTTTGAGAAAATTAATTATTATTTTCAGACGTCATCAAAATCAAAAATGAACAAATATTCAACGTGTCGATTGGTCGGAGGTCCATTTTTTTAAATGCGACATACATGCTTTTACCACAGATTCGGATTCTGGGCACAAAAATACGTAACTTTTGTCAGAAACGTTTCCCTAGAATGGACTTCCGGTTAAAATAATGGACCTCGGTTTGGTTGTTTGCATATGGTATGAATAACATTTTTTTACCGCTGAAATTTAAAGGATTTTATATGTTTTCCAAAGCTATACGCTTTTTACCTTCAATCAAAGATCCCTTTCGTCAAGGACAGGTTTGTCATGGTAGCCGAATGACCCTCCAATAGTTATGGTGGGCATCTGGATCTATTTATATTGAAGTTTTTTCATCATGAAAATAGCGTTCTTCAATTCTTCCTACAAAATTTGTAATTTTTGTAAAATGCTAAAAACGCATTTTCGTGCCATAGTGTGGGCTGTGGTTTAGCGATTTATTTCTTCGCCTTAAGTACCACAACTGTGTTTAAAAATTTATTGTGAACTTTTATTTGTAACAGAGAAATTCAAATACATTTCAAGTTTTACGGTAAATCATGCTGTTTCTAGTAGCTAACCTTTGGTTATGTCGTTTGCACCACTCTTTTGGGGTTTGTATAGGGCCACCAAGCTTATTATTTCTATAGTCGTCGGGAATTTTAAAGGAATAAGAAGCATTGCATATATTCTGCTGTCTGATTACTTCAGCAGTTATTTAGCTACCTTTCAAGCCACAAAAATTCATTCGTGTTATATTTTCGGGCTCATCTTCGCATAGTTCAATGCCAAGGGATATTTTCGGCCATAATATACATGGAAAAATAATAAAACGGTTTTATTATAAAAATAGCTTATATATGTTTAAGTTTTGTTATTGCTTGTAATAACGGTAGAAAAAATTACAAACGAATATCAACTTAACATATGATAATACTTATAAACTAAGGGCTATTATAATTGCATACAACAAAGAGTTTTACCCTTCTTTCATAGAGCGAAAATGACGAAAAACATATTGCACATATAATTATTTTACTGGGGTATGGGGAATGAATTAATTTGGCTTTAAATTGTATTGAAATTTAGTGAATAACCGTATTAACATGATCAGCAACTTGACGTAAAGTGTATTATTTTTTAGCTAGGTTTTCTTGAAAAAAATAAGGCCCTTTTCGCAGACCATTCCATTACATAGTGGCATAAACAATCAGGACCATCAATAGCGTATGTTAAAATGAAGTGTTCAATTTTGGTGGTATCTACTGTTGTCTTCACTACTAATCGATTAATAAAAACTGCGTCTTTATTTTACTTTGAATTCGAGTTTTCCCGGCTGAATTTAATTGACTTAGATATAATTAAATTACACCTGAAGAGTGTAATTTGGCGAGCTTAATTTTAAACGAATTTCCTGCCGAACTTGTTGTAGCCAATGGTGTTAAGTTCACTAAGACATTTCGGACATTTCGGACCATAATTTACAAATTCGTCCGTTTTGAATCAAAAAAAAAAGAAAAACAAGTCGCGAAGTCTACACGCGTACGTATTTTTCTTCTTCTTATTTAGCGCTGTAACCGCCTAAGCGATTTTGGTTCGGAGATCGTTTCTCTTCTGTGTCAACTGACGCCAATTGGAAATGCCAAGTGAAGCCAATTCCTTCTCCCCTTGGTTTTTCCATCGCAGTGGGGGCCTTCCTTTTCCTCTGCTACCACCAGCGGGTTCCGAGTTGAATACTTTCAAAGCTGGAGCATCGTTGTCCATTCGAACGACATGGCCGTGGAGTGGAGCCGTTGTATTTTAATTCGCTCATTATGCCTATGTCGTTGTAAAGCTCATACAGCTTTCATCGTCCGCGGTACTCGTCGTTGTCAACGCGTAAATGCTGGTTTCTTAATAAGGCAGAACAGATTTTGAGGTTTTTGTCGATGTCAATCAGAGTAAATCACACGGAAGAGAGTCACCTTGTCTGAAAACTCGTTTGGTATCAAACGGCTCGAAGAAGACTTTCTCAATTCTGGCGGAGTTGGTGGTATGGCTCAACGTCATTTTACTTTTACTTTACTTATTTTAGTTTCCCTTTAGTGCTAATGGAAGGTGCTTTGAAGTCGACAAATAGGTCGTTTAGGGTGATTGACTCGGTTTTTTTTCAAACCGGTCTCCATCGGGTTTTTTGATATCTTTGAACCGTTTGAAATCTTGATTGTTCGAATATCGTATAAACCGGATTTTTTAATCGAACAAACCAGTTTTTTCTTTTCATACAAATCTTGACTTTTTAATAGAAGGTTCGAGTTTTTCTTATTTGGGAATGAATAGTATGTCATATTTGATTCAAATAAATGAATGTTTGGCGCTGAACCGTTTTCTACGTGTTTGGCCGAGCTTCTCCAATTCGACTTCTGCTTTTTGATGTTATGACACAAATAGGGTATTTTCCCAGATTTAGCTTAAACTGAATACCTGATCTATGGTGGATTTACCAGGTTTGAAGCCACACTGATAAGGCCCAATCAGTTCGTTGACGATCTTTCACACAATACATTCGATAAGACCTTGTACTTGGCGCGAATGGTGGGGTCGCCTTTCCTGTGGCAATGCGTTCATTTGACCATATTCTGCATAAGAGTTGATGCATGCACCTTATCAGCTCCTCGCCGTCGTACTTGAATAGCTCAGCTGACAGGCTGTCAGCTCCAGCAGCTTTGTTGTTTTTCAAACGCGCTATTGCTATTCGCACTTCGTCATAGTCAGGTGGTGGAACATCGACTCCGTCATCATCGACTGAGGGCTCGGGTTTGATTTCTCCATAGCTTTCAGTACTGCTACAAATCAGTAGGGTGGAAAAGTGTTCCCTACATAATTTAAGTAGGTTCTGGACATCAGTCACTACCATCCGTAAGTCGCCTAACTCTTTGGTCATATTTTCGCACGTTTTTCCTGTCCGCCAGCATTTTAAGCTCTTCGCACTCGGATATGTCGACCTCTCTCTTCTTATTGCGGCAAATACGGCTCGCCTCCCTCTTCAGCTCCATATACTGGTCCCACATAGCTCATTCTTATGGTTATTACCTTTAAGTTAATTTACGCCGAAGTTCCCGTATTTCTGAAATTTACCATTGAAGTCGGTGTAATTTTAGTCCGATTTCAAACATAATTATACAGAGTTTGGTACAAATTGATAAAGCGCGGTTACCGAGATACGCATACGTATTTTTCACCCATTTTCGAAAAATTTTTTATAAGCGTATTTCTTGCTAAAAAATTATTGCAAACATCAATTTTAAATCAATTCTCTTCAGTAGTTTATGATTTATCGAAGATTTCGTATTTCTCTAAATTCACGTTATATGGGATGTGGGCGTGGTCGTTGTATAATTTTAAAAATTTTCAACCGTTAGGAACCTTTTAAGTAGACCAAAAACTGTGCCAAGTTTGGGAGAAATTTGGTGAAGCAGTTACCGAGATATATGTAAACACGCAATAAATAAGTGGGTGGGGCCATGCCCATTTTACAAAAATTTATAATCTTATTTTCCGCCATAGGTTCAGGACTACCGATACATGTTCCAAGCTTCGTTAAGATATTTTCATTTTTTCTCAAGTTATCGCGTGCACAGACGGACAGACGCACAAATGGACAGACAGTCACACCTTAATCGATTTCTCTTTTCATTCTGAGCATTTATGTAGATACATAGATATACATTTGTCTATATCTACACCGATTCCTTTAGTCTGTTACAAACAACCGCAATAACAATAAAGCATTTGCATAAAAAATGTATTGATCTCAATGGATTTTTAGGAAATTGGAGGAAAGTGTTAGTTAACTGACTAAAAGGATCACCATAGGTGTATAGTTAGCTTTAAGGTTTTCCCAACAGCTGGAAACGACTGACAAAACTGTTGCGCATTATAAACCCCACAATTTTAATTCGTTTCAGCATAAAAAATGTTAATACACTAAGGGCCGTTTTCTCAAGTAGGTTTTAAAATTTATCTGCCCTTTAAATGATCACTTTGTCCTGAAAAATGTGTTAAATATGTATGTGTAAATTTAAAATTATACTTGAGAAAACGGCACTAAGTGGATTTCATTTGAAACAGCTTGCACAAATATACCGTACTCATGCAAACCTCTGCTTATACATATGTGTATGTGTATGTGTATGCAGTGTGTCATAGTGTAAGCAGTAGAACATGCGTCAAAGGAGTTTTAATCAAAGCAATCAACAGGTGGGTTCTTTGTGCGACTAACAGCTTTTGGTATTTTTTGTAAAATCTAATATGTGGGTAATTTCCAAACAAAGTGTACATAAATAGCAAGTATTTTTTATTTTATTTTATTTTTTTTTAAGAGTGGCAAATTTATCATCTACAGAACACGAAACTGCTTTCAGGCTATTCAAAAACTAATTTCTTTTTCTTATTTTTGCATTTTTGCATTTTTATAAAATATTTTCCAGAATGTCACTTTTTTTAGTAAGCTCTGAAGGAATAAATAAGTTTAGAAACTGTTCGAAAAAAGTATACTTACCGATAAGCATTGTACTGTTTTTTAACATTAAATGCATGCTTTTTAAGCTTTTAGCTTTTTAAGCTAATAGGTTGAAGTTTTTTACACATCCTTCATGGCATTTTTCAAGTAAATCATTGAAACTCCTTAAGCAATAAACTTATATTGGTAATTATCTTATATTTAGTTTCTTTTGCATAAATAACTGGGAGACATTCAGGAAATATTTAGCCGTACTTACCATTGTGCAGTGATAGATTCACTTAAAAACACAAAATAATTACTTTTATTAAGTTATTTCTTATGTCATTCGATCAAGAACTTCTTGCGCTTCTTAACTGTAATGCACTTAGGCAAGCAAAACAAATAATTTAAATATTACGGCAAATTAAAAAAAAAAAGTGACATTCAAGAAATTTCGGAGGGCCAATGTTATAATAGCAAACCACGCTTATCAGGCAGGCTCTGCAAATCACTTCCGAGTGAATTCAAACCAAATTCACTTTGAATTCATATTAACAAGTGTTGAAATTCACGCGGAAGTGGAATAGCATAAAACAATAAAAGTTAAGTTGGTCATTCACAAAAAGTTGCGCCGTTTTTTCATGGTTTTTTTTTTTTGTTTAAACTTTTTTTCATATTGATTATCGAATAACCAGAGCGGTGACAAATATTTTTACATATATGGAGCTGGTAAAATATATCAAAGAGATACCGTTCGCAAACGAAAACAAAACGGCTTACAATAATGAAAAAAAACAGCTTTGTTGATGGATCGTTTGATGCTGTTTTTTTTATTTTTCGTTTTTTCGTGGTCCAAATATATGGGAAAAATGGTTACGATGTAATTTTACCTGACCACCTCTGGTCCAACGCTGTATAACAGAGCACCACCTACACCTACACAACTTTCCCATTTGGGACTATGAACTGAACTTTATAAGAATCGGCATAAAGCGAATATTTTGGTATTTATTAAGGTGCCTTTAAAATCGAATTAATGAAATGCGTAATTTACATAAAATAAAGTTTCTTAAAATTCGTTTTAATAATATTTACATTCCGCAACCGATTCAAATTTCCGATTTACTGCGAAGAGGTGACGTTCAATATATACTTGAACTTTTCACGTCTGAAGTGGTCCAAGTCAGTGAAACAAGTTACTATTTATCTTATATAAAACCTGGTCCATTTGCTCATATCGCACATTTGCTGGAAGAGCGGCAAAATCCAAATAAAAAAAAAACAAAAAATAGTTAAGTATGCAGAAAATACCGCTGCCTCTTCTTCTAACTCGTTGTGCAAAAATATCATACTTGACTCGATTACCAGTATCTCGCTTGAACAAAATATGTATTCATTTATAGTATGGGAGGTTATGTAAATTCAAAACTTTAAAGCCGTTTCCCCTATTTTTTTGATATTTTTAATTATAACACTCTGGCAGGAAATGTGCGTTATGTACTTTAAAATGATGTCCCACTGGACCAACTGGTCCTCAAATTTTTTTGCAGGATATGTTTGTGCATACATATGTATATTCGCATCAACTGAATATATATATATATATATATATATATATATATGTACATATGAATGTACACTAACTTACTTGTGTCCCAGTTCATGTGCGATTGTATGTGACAGCATGATACCATTATCCTCGTTGACGCTGCAGGACTGCTTCGGCTTGCACATGCCACCCACATTAGCCAATCCGAGAGTCCTGGAAGTGACAAATGGGTTTCTTAAAACACAATAAACAAAAAGTAGGTAGTAGTATTCAAGCCACTCTTACATGCAATTGTTGCCGCATATATTCGTCCTTGTTATGAGAATGGCAACATCGTGATGATATGTATCGTCTTTATTGACCGTATTCAGTTTGTGCTGCCAGCTGGTGGATTGGGGAAAGTTAGTGAAATCGAAACAAAATTTGGATGAGAGTTGTATTGATCATATCGCATGTTTAATAATATATATGTATATCGTTACATTAATTCAAAAAGGTCTACTTCTGGCGCGAAACATCTCTTAGTCCCGGTGCTAACATTGCAACACTCATTTTACGTTAATAAAAATAATAATAAGAGTGGCTGGCTTCCAAACTTTGCAAGAGTTGCGACACATTTTAAATATTCAATATAGCAATGAACAATTTTTCCGAATTTTCCATTTTTAAAACACCAATGGCAACCAATAACAAACGAAGCATCAACTTTGTTTATGATGCGCTGATTGCTCTAGCGATAACTTTTCGGATGCGTTTTGGAAAAGTATGCATTGTCAATATTTTGTAGTTCGGCCTAATGGAATATTATATTTTTTAGGTAGGCACGAGTTAACAAAGTTTTGTGAGTGATATCTCACAAACATATGTACATTTTTACATACTAAGTATTTACATTGTGAATGCACATGCTACACTCTCCTGTAGCTAATAACGTCTAGACTTAAAATTGCGTTTATCTTATCACATCCACTCGATCACTAAACAAAATGTAAAGCACCACCAACGCCACACGGATTACAAACGGAAAACGAGCCTTATCCATGCATAAATATGTATGCACATACACATCGCTCATTTACTAAAAGGTTGTTGCAACTCAAAAAACGAAAATTTTCACGAGACGCGTTCAAGGTTTTCAATTTGCTCCCAAAATGTAAAAAAAGGAGAGGTAAATATGTATGAATACAGTTTTCTTACGCGCAAACTGCACAAAATCTTGGCACGAAATTTGTACACAATATGAAGCATGTTGTAACAAGTTCAATTCTGCATCATTTCCTCAAAAATTTGTTTTTCGAGTTATGGCAATTTTTTATTAAACGAGCGATATGTAAATACATACATACATAAGTAGGAGAAATAAGAAAAAAAAAAATCAACTGGCGCCTACAAAGTCAACAGAGAACAATCTGCGAGAAAGTGGGAGCCACAGCGCTGTATGCAAATCTTATGTGCCTGCAAGCAATCTAGCAACAACGCCAACTACATACATATGTGGATATGTATACCCACACTCACGATTACGTATACACGTATGCATACATATGTACACGTTTTTTTCATATGCACATACATAGGCCCAAAGCGTCAGAGGCTAGCCGGAAACATCGGGCATACACATACATAACGTCGCGCCTAAGTAATCGTTAAGCAATAACTCACCTACAAAATGTATCCAAATTCTTTTGGGCATTTTGTGTCAGATTAAGATCTGGATGCGCTTCGTACTCTTCCAGCAAAATCATTTTGACGACAACAATCTCAATTGAATTGCCAATGCTGGGATCCTTGTACAGCGCCGATACCATATTCATTATGGTTAGTAGATATGTCTCCAATTTGTGATGAAAGGCGACCATCGTTGCATCTGCCACTATTAACGCTTCCACATGACGTGGGCTGCTAATTGAACGTTTCGTGCGTTTTCCGTTTCCCATATTTAAACTTTGTTTATTGTCGTCGTCTCTATTGTTGTTGTTGTTCTGAACGTTGGCGGCAATGTTGTTGGTGCTTGTTGTTGTAGCGGCCTCACTGTTTTGCTTAACGAAGTGAGAGGGAATGAAGAAATCAGTTTTGTTGCCGCCGCTGATCGCTTTAATCTCATCTGTTGCAGTCTCATATTTGAATTCCATTTCTGCATTCGGCGGTGACTGCTGCGATGGCGGTTCAGATAGTTGATGATACTTCCGATGACGTCGCTTTAGCATATTTTGCAATGAGTTTTTATGTTGTTGTCGTTGTTGCTGATGATGTTCATGTTTATGGAGATGTCGGTGTCGATGCTGATGCTGATGTTTTATTCTTTGGTGTACATTTTGTTGTCGCAATTTTCTACCACCTTGAATTTTGACCTGAACAAATATATGTAAATATGTCGGTATATCGCCGATTAAAGTACAAAACCGCGTAACTGTAATTTTTTTTCCAAAAATTGGATTTTCTCACCGAAGCCTTTCTCACTCAAGCCTTATTTATACGTCCCGAAATTTACTAACCAGAAAAGCGATTGCTTTATAAAAGAAAGAACCATTTTGAAATAGGAGCATTTTTACTCGCTACAAAATAATTTATGCAACCTCACACACGCGGTTTTGTACTTTAAATGACGATATATATTTTGCAATTTAATGGTGATTTCGTTTCTTCCAAAAAATGTTGCCCAAATTTTTTGACAGAAACGAAATCACCATAAACTTTGAAATGAGAGAAACAACAAATCACAGTCCATGTGTAAATTAATTTCAAATATGCTTTCTTTTTGTTGTATACCTTTCCCTGCGCGTGCCATTCCAGCCGTGTTTCGCTATGTAACTTGGGCTCCTTAGTACCGCAATTGCTGATGAGCGCCTCTCGTTGCTTTTGTTTTTGTTTGTGGTTCTCATTGCTTATTGATTTACTAATGTTCTGCTTCTGGAAAGAGAGAGTGACAAAACTCAGCCAGAAATGCCAAAAAGTTTATATTTTTAGGTTATAGAAAACGCACTACTGGAAAAAGAGTTAATCTTTTTGTTTTTACCGAACTTTACTTTATTCAGCAAAGAGAATAATTCCTTAAATATAATACATATATGTACATTAGGGCGGTCCTTAAATGTAGGAAGCAAATTTTATCATCAGATTTCCTAAGGCTCGACTTTAGTAGTATCGATTTTGGGTAGTAAATGAGTAAAATATTTTTAATTTTTTGAGTCCAT